CTGGTAACTTTGGCAACTGTAGAAGTGGTTTCAGAGACACTGACAGTTTTAGTCATGGAAGAGGTTATGGTGGCTCTGATATCTTCCATGGTGGGGGGATATGATAGTCGTGGGAATGGCACAGTGAATTTGCTTTTTTTTTTTTTTTTTTTTTTTTTTTTTTTTTTTTTTTTGTGAGATTGGGTCTCACTATGCAGTTGAGACTGACCTGGAATTCACTATGTAGTCCAGGCTGGTCTCGAACTCACAGCGATCCTCCTGTCTCAGCCTCCCGAGTGCTGGGATTAAAGGCGTGTGCCACCATGCCCAGCAATCATAGAAGCAGTTTTGGGGCCAAGGATTTAGCCTAGTGGTTCTGCCACCTGCCTAGCAAATGCAAGATCCCAAGTTCAATCTTCAAAACCAAAAAAAAAAAAAGAAAAAAGAAAAGAAAGGGCTGGAGCTCAGCTCAGTGCTAGAGCACTTGCCTAGCATTAGCATATTCAGAGCCCTGGGTTCCATCCCCAGTTGTGAAAAACAAACAAACAAAGCAGTTTTGGTGATAGTGGAAGCTACAGTAATTTTGATGGTTACAATAGTCTTCAGAGTTTGGACCAATGAAGGGAAGAAACTTTGGAGGAAGAAGCTCTGACCTCTGTGGTGGTGGAGGCCAGCACTTTGACACACCGTGAAGCCAAGGTTGCTCTGATGGTTCCAGCCGCAGCAGTGGCAATGGCAGTGACAGGTTTTAGTTTAGGGGAATAGAGCCAGAGAAGTGACGGGGAAACTACGGGTAACAGAATTGTGAACTTGGCCGAGCACAGTGATGGCAAGACACAGCTGCTACAGAGAAGGCATATTGGCCAGTACTTTTATACAGGCAAAACAATTTAAGGACTGTGTCTGTGACTAACTGTAAAACAAATGATTTAGTTTCTGTTCTGTGAAAAGTGTAAAGCATTTCAACAAATACTTTTAATATAGACCTTTTTTTTTTTAAACCTGTGTATTGATTGCTAAGTGTAACAGTCTGACATGTTGCTGAATAAATATGCCTTTTTAAAAAAAATAGGGCCAGGGATTTAGCTCAGTGGTTCCGCCACCTGCTTCACAAACGTAAGGTCCCAAGTTCGATCCCTCATACGCAAACATACATATATACGAAAGAAAATAAATACATGAAAAACTTATTTTTAGCTGTAGAGTTTTTTATTACTTTGGGTCTTTCTTAACCTTAAACAAGGAGTTGGATAAACCTTGTTTTTCTAAATTTATAGACTATAAATGTACATTTTAAAATAAAATTGCTTGCTTAGTGAAGAAACTTAACTTTTAAAATAGAAGTTTTAGGAGGGGCACAGGGGAATGGGGAAAAAAATAGGAACCAAGACATATCATGTAGAGGTACAAGATTTTGTTTGCTTTAATTGTACCAATAAACTTAATAGGAAAAAAATAAAATAGAAGTTTTGAATTATATCTAAGCAGTATAACTACCATTAATAGTGTGACTTTAGCCCAAAAGTTGTCTTTTATTACAAGAACCTGGATATAATTTTTAGTTTATTTTCAGTTGATCATAATACACTTATCTCTTGGAATAGAGAAAATACACTATTTCCTATGAAAAGTAACTCCCTTTAGTCATTTAAAACAACTCTGTGAGTTTATAAGCATTTTAAAGATTATCTAAATGTTCTCTCTTACAGTCCTTGAAATATAGTTGGTGTTTATTATTAGCTTAAAAGTAACAGTTTTAATGTGAGGTATAAACTAAATCATCAGGCAAGAGTCAGCTTTGTAATTGTCTTAATGTGCAGATATGATAGCTAACCACATATTCTCAAATAATACACTTCTCTACATGCTTTTATACATAAACCCACCTACATGTAATACATCTTTGCAGAAATTCTCATTTTTGCTGCTTTTCTAGTCTGCACAATTTCATTTTTCTTAAGTAACTTGAGTTTTTGTGATATATTGCTATCTAAACTACTTCTAAGTTACAAACTAATTAGCCTTTATGGTTGTACAAAAGTAGAGGATGCATTCATCAAATCAGTAGTTGTCGATTGTTTTTCTTTATAGAATATGATAGCTCATGTTCTATAGTCACAGTTTCTATGCAGGGCTATGAAGGGACTCAAAAGATGTCTCTGCTTTTTTAAAACTCTATAATTGCTTCTAGTAAGCAGACAAAACACATAAGGACCTTTCAGTTTATTTTGCTGCTGCCTAGTATAAACACTAGATGGTGCTGTGCTATTCAGTGACCTCTAAAAAAGATTAAACTATCTGGAGGAGTATGCATCATTTATCCAGTTTAAATTTGTAATGAATGTCGTTTATGCTTAAATATCGTGAAAAAAGTAAGATTACCAGAATTATAAAGGAAAGTACAATGCAAGCAATCCTGACAGGAGCCAGAAAGGGGTGTCCAACAAATTTATGAGTGGTAAAAATGTTACCTCTTAATGAACATCATTTAAAAAATGTTGGAATGTAAGCATGTGACTGATAACTCAGTTTAATGAATAAATATTTTTCTTGAGTACTCATGCATTTAATGTTGGTCAGCATTCCATTAAAATGTTAATATTAATATATCTTTGTTGTTTTTCCTGTTGTTTATACTGAAATAAACTGTTTTCTTTATCCAGCTTCATAGTCCACTGACAATTCAGAAGTGGGAAAAACCTATACATTGTCATTTTCTATATACTGACAGGTGTATGAGATTATAAATGCTTTCTTTGTGACAGTATGCATCCTGCTTTCTTAAAAGGAAGAAAAAGCATTTTTACTTTTAAAAGACTTTTCTTGATAAATTGGAATAAAAGCTGTTAATCCTGCTTTCACTTTTGTTAAAATATAATTGTATAACTGATTATATATTTTTTAAGTGGTACTGGGTATCGGATTCAGGACCTTGCACTTGCAAGGCAGTTTGGTGCCAAGCTAAATCCCCTTCTGTATAATTGATTATAGGCAGTCACTGTTTACTAAGCCCTCAGGCTAAAGTACAATGTTACAGTCTGAACCTATCCTTTAATTCTTACAGGACTCCTGGAAGATTTTTTTCTTTTTTTTTGGTACCAGGGATCGAACTTGGGTCCTTGCGCTTGCAAGGCAGGCGGCGGAACCATTGAGCTAGATCCCCCAGCCCCGGAAGATATTACTTGAGATATATTACTATACTTAGTTCAAAAACTGGTTCAGAGGGGTTGTTACTCACCTATAGAACAATGTTAGGAAGAATAAGATGAGTTGATTCTTCAGTGTCCATACCCTAGTGTCCTACCTTAGATGTTTGGTGGTAGTGGTGGTAGTGATTGATGCACTGGGGATTGAACTCAGGGCCTTTGCCTTGAGCTACATCCTGAGCCCTGTTGTATCTTTAGACAAGTTCTTTTTAACTTGCTAAGTGTCCCAGGCTGAGCTCAAACTCACAATCCTCTTGGCCTCTTAGAGTACTTGTATTAGAGGCATGTACTATTTATATGGTATTCTTTTGGCATCAATATTTCTGCTACTTTTCAGAAGTTATTAAGTAAAGCAAGCTAATACTCATAATGAGGAAACATTACATTATTCATTTACTTCTAAAGAAAATAAATTGTACTTGAAACAGATTTTCTATTGAGCTCTTATACCTGACAGAATTGTCAAAAATGGAATTAGAGCTTTTATCCCATCAAAAAGAGAAATGAGATAGGTTTTTTTTGTTTTGTTTTGTTTTACTGGGGTTTGAACTCAGGGCCTTGCACACGTTCGACAAGTGCTCTACTAGTGAACTGCATTCCTAGCCCTTTCTTTTTAATTTTGTTTTGAGACAAGGACTCAGTTGCCCAGGCTGGCTTTATACTTGATACCCTCCTGCCTTGGCCTATCAAGTGGCTGGATTACAGATGTGTGCCTACCAATTTAAAATTTTTTAATAAAATTAAGAGAACCATGTTAACTGAAATTTTTGTTACCAGTTGTATCTCTTTTAAATAAAATTTTTGGCACTAGAGAGAAAATGATGGGAAGTTTTAAATTTAGGGTTCCTAATTGTTTGAGAGAAATGTATAGGCTACTGTTTTAAGTATTTCAAGAGAGAAAAAGCTGAATAAGCTACAGTGCTCAATTTGAAGAAACGGGAGAGTGAAAAAGTTATAAATTAGTTGAATGCCAGTCTTAAGAGAAATTAAAGTTTTCTAATATCAAAGACTATTTTTAAACCAACTAGATATTTTTATTAGCAATGTATTGTAATTCTACTGATATCTTCTTGCCTTCTGCATCTATTATGCTGATTTTCTAATAGCTATCAAAACTGTAATTATATGGATGTAATTTTCTCAAGTTTGTAATATTTTCTATTGACATCATGAAAAATGAAAATTTCCAGATAAGAAAAAAAAGTATGAATAAATACACTTTGGATGAGTAGAGAATAAGGGTTAACATAGTATTCCGTGTACTTCAAAGCCAGGAATTCAGAACAAAGGTCTGTCTGATACTGAAATGCAAAGTCCACATCTTTTCTGTGGCTATAGAGCAGTTTATAGCTTTAGCTTATTTATTTGTAAAGAAGCACTGGGTTAAAGTTAAAAGATACTGGATGAGAAACTGGAGTTTGAGACCTTGTTCTTTGTTAGATGTTGCATTGAACATGTCTCTTCTGTTTTCTGTTGTATACAATGGGAAATTGAACATATTGGTCACGTGAAAAATAGCCATGTAGAAAAGGTGTGAAAGTATTTTGTATGCATTGAGATGGGCTATAGATAAAAAGTATACTATAGGTAGTCACTATCTTGTTTATAACTGGTATGGAAATCAAATGATAGACCAATAAAGCACCTAAAATGGACCTGACACATGGTAAGTATCAACTTTGGCTAGCATGAAATGGAGATAATAACAAAGACTTGGAACTAAGTACTCTGTTTCTGAAAGATTGTGTGATTAAACTGCTTTAGAATCTGCACAAAAATAAGGTGATTTTTAAATAAGTATGTTTTATTTTCTAGGGTCAAATCTAAATCGCTGTGGTTTCCGAGGCTCTTCATACCTGGGTATTCCATTCAATCCATCAAAGGTTAGTTCTCTTGGGATCAGTAGGAGAGGGGATGTTAGGAGGATTTTAGTGAGAAAGAAAACTAAGAAATTACTCAGAAAGAAGTACATTTCCAGATTTCTGTATGCCTAAAATACTATAAACTGAAACCTCAAGAGAAATCTATACCTCTTTCTCTGAAAGAATTTACAGTACATAAACATGCAAAAATATATATTAATTATTATGAAAACTTAATGTCTCTTCTACTACTGAACACTTGCATGTGTGTTTGTGCGAAAATTATTGATGATTTTCTGGAGAAAATAGAAATAAAGTACTGTGATACTTGCTTTCTAAGAAGCCAGTAAACTTCCATGTATTATAGGACTTTGGTTCTTCACTGAGGAATAAAAGAAAATACTCTTCTCAAGGCAATGGTTGCAGATACAGACAGTAATTAATTTTATGACATTTATGGCAACAGGGAAAACTTCCTTCAGCTTTGCAGCCAGTGGCTTTGAAATCAGCCCATGTCAATATAAAAAGCAGTGAATCCTAACAAACTGAAGAGCTTTTTTTCTTCTTCTTCAAAGGAACAGACCTAGAACTTTGGGTATTCCATTTGTGTTTAAAATCAACAATATTTTTCTATAGTAGCAAGTGGGGAAAAGCGTCATCTTTTTCATTTAAAGAGTCTCCACAAAACAGAAACTTACTCCTATGGAGTCATTCTCTAATATAATGATCATAAGCCAGTGTCTGATTCCACTGAATATATGAAGATTTATATCCACTAAAAGCTGAAGTGCTGCCAGTTTTTCTGTATTTTACTTTAATATTTTGGAATAAATAGTGATTTTTGGATCTAAGAGCTGCTTCCATTTCTTCCTTTGCCTGAATCTATAGACCAGCTTACCTATGTCAGAGTAAATATGCTTTTACCAAAATGTCTCCACAGTCATGTGCCCTTTGTGGTTAGCATGGCTTGTAAAAACAAAGGACTCATTAAGTGCTTCTTTTTGTCATACATACATTTTCTAACTTAAGCCAGTACTGAAGAAAAGTGACCTTTTTGGCTAGTCATAATGAATTGTGTATCTTGGTGTCATGACATTGTTAATGATGACCATTGCATACTAGACCATATGCAGATGTATACCAATACTAGGGGTAATAACATTACTTTTAAAGAATGGTCTCTACCACCAAGACATTTTATTTTTGTATTGGATTTTTTTTTTTTGTACTGGGGATTGAACTCGGGTCCTTGTGCTTGTGGAGTAGGCGGCAGACCCACTGAGCTAAATCCCCACCCCTGTATTGCATTTTTTGGTGTTTCTCTTTTTTTCGTAGTACAGAATTCACTGCTTTTTATATTGACGTGGGCTGGTTCCAAAGCCTCTGGCTGCAAAGTACTAGGAATTGAACTCAGGACCTTCATACTGAGCTACATCTTCAGCCCTTTGTTTGATTGGAGACAGGGTCTTACTAATTCACTAAATTGCCTGATTTGGTGTTGACCTTGGTCTGGGGTTGACTTGCCTCAGTTTCCCAGAGTACACACCTGGATGTTTGTTTGTTTTGAGGTGAGTATCTTTTTGTTTGCCCAAGCTGGCCCCAAACTCCTGGACTCAAGTGAGTCCACCTGAGTACCTGGAACCAGAGGTGCAGCCCACTACACGCAGCCCACAAGATATTTTAAAAACAGTAATTAGTGTTGAAGAAACCATTTTTACCCCTGGCTTACAGATTCTCATGAAACCCATTTTTGGTACTTGATACACCTGGACCCTGTCATCTTCTGGGAAGCTGGGTCTCACTCCATGCTGTGTGTTTACCTGAATTCTCAATAGGAGGAGGAGCTAGTGACTCCAGGTGGAATCACAGAGAGCAACAAGAAGTTGTAACTTAGTGTGGTACATAGGAGTCCAGGAGACAGACTGTGCACACATCACTACAGTGGCTTTGTTGCTTTTTATCAGAAAGCACCACATTGATTGTTGACTTATCTGATCAATTCCCAGCACTGTTAGTGGCCATACATAGACCACTTTTGGAGAAATGTTGACAGGTCTTCCAACCCACTTTCTTACTGATTTTCTTCATACATCCTATATTCTCTGTTAAATTCTTTATGGTATTTTAATATGTGCTGGAGAATTATCCTTCTGTGCTTTGCTTTTATATTTACCTGTTATGCCTTCTTCAAGTGTACCTATTTGGGCTTCTCTTCTGCTGCAAAGAAGAATCTCTATAATCCCTATGTATTATTATATCTCCTCTTTGACCATTTACAGTAGTCTCTTTTGTATTGTAATTATTTGATCAGACCTCTTTTTTGCCCTTAAGGCTAAGTTCTACATTTGTTTCATGTTTGGGTCCTCTACAGGTTTTTTTTTTTTTTAATGTATATATAGCAGTTATTTAAGTGACAAAAAATGAAATATATTAAGGAGCTCTAAGAAGTCTATTATAAATATGAGATAGAATAGCCAAGTGAATTAAAACTTGAGTGCTCAAGAAGGGACTTAGGATGAAAGATGTCTTGATGAAAGTTTATGTGGTAAATTTGTGAGACCATTTAGAGAAATATATCATTATTAAATAACTAACATCTTTTCAGACAGTTCCTTATTTAATCCTCACAATAATCCTGTGTGATGGCTACTAGTGTCTCCCTTTTCCACAGTGGAAAAATGGAGCAAGTCAGTAAGTAGTAGAGCCAGGATTTAATGCCTCTCAGTGATTGTACAAGTTAACATTTACTTATAGGAGGTGGAGGAATCTATTTTAACCGTCTGGCATTTTGAGCACTATTTTAGCATTTGAGTCAGTTATTGGTAAACTCAAATTTAAAAAGAAAGGAAACTTATGGGAAGATTAATTAAGTACACAGTATATGCTTACTTCATCAAAATAAAACTCTTAAATTGAGGAATCAATTGTGTAGCATGACGTTTTACATATTTCGAATGAAATATTTTTAAAATAATCAGCTGATTATTTGAAATTATAAAAGTATATGATTTTGTGTATTGTGGAGTATAACATTATTTAGCACAATAAACCATTTTTAGATTGAAATTTTGTCTGTGGCAATGCCAACCTCAGTGTCTTTAGATTTCCTACAAGGAGTCACATATTTTATAAAGTTTCAGATATCTTTGATAACTATTTTGTTATCTTTTATTGAAACAATTAGTAAATCAAGTTAATCCCACCTGTGCATTATGGTAATATGAGTCTCTTAGTCTGACATCCCAGCTCTGCAATTGCCAATCTTGTAGTTAATTCCTCTGCAAGAACGTAGGCTTCACAAAACGTTCTTTGAAATCAGTAACACATTTGAGGTCTATATAGCCAAAGTTATGTTATTTTATTTCTAGATAATTTTTCAGCTTGAGTATTTGAGCTCTTTGCATTTTGTGGGGTTTTTGCTGTTCTAAGAGCTAGCTTGTATTAGAGATTCAAATAAATCCAACTTTATGTGACAACAGAGCAGTAAGGTTTTCCAGTGTACTTTTTAATATGGTGATTACTAATATGGCATTTAAATTTGTGCCATAAACGAAGTTATTTTTTGTACAGGTCATTTTTGTTCTAAAGACTATGCTTTTTCTAGCTTTATAAGACTTAAAGTGGTAGATTTGGTTAATTGTGAAGTTCATAATTAGGTTTAGTCAAATAAAACTTTTCCCATAAACTTTGAGGTCTCTGAGCTGAGTTATAAAATTATTTAACCTGGTGGTGGCCCATGTCAAGATTTTGAGGCAGGAAGATTGCAAGTTTGAGGCCAGCCTGGACAATAGCAAGACCCTGTCTCAAAAAAAAAACCTTACATAGCTTAGAATTTATGCAGTCATAGTTACATGTTATTGAGACATATATAAAAATGGAAGTTTATATTTCTCCATTGGATGTCTATAAAATTCAGTGTAAGCAACATTCACGTTTCCTATTTATTAAAATCTTATATCATGGGCTGAGTGGGGATTTAGCTCAGCAGCACCACGCCTGCCTCATAAGTATAAGGTCCTGAGTTCAATCCCTGGTACAAAAAAAAAAAAGGTCTCAAACTAGTTAATGGAATTAATTTTTATTTTGATTCATTAACATACTATTCTTTTTTAATTTAGAACCCTGGAACAGCTCATCCATATGATAGTGGTCACATAGCAATGACCTATACTGGCCTTTCATGTTTAGTTATTCTTGGAGATGACTTAGGCCGAGTAAATAAAGAAGCTTGTTTAGCGGGTTTGAGAGCCCTTCAGCTGGAAGATGGAAGGTATGAGTCATTTATTGTTAATTTTTTTAAGAATAAGAATATTTTGGAGCTTACAAAAAAGAATATAGTACTATACTAAATATTTTGAAAATTATATAATCTTTATTAGAACCACTGAAAGTTTATTGTATACATAGTTAAGTGATTAGTCAAAAAAACTGTTGATTTTTTTGTGTGTATGTGAGGGAAAATAAAAGTTTTATAGTAGCAGAACTCCTTTGTTTTTATTGTTAATTTACCTTCTAGATGAAAAAAAGGCTATTTTGAAGTTAAGGTATAGTTAGTCTAAACTTTTGTTCCTTGGAATTACTACTGGAGGAGAAGGGGATAAACTTCGAATGTCATGTTTTTAAGTTTAGATAGTTTGAATAACATTTTCAAGAGATAGAAAAAAGTTATTATGCTAATATTTGATGGTTTTGTGTCATGTCTAAGGAATCTTCCAATAGTTTTAAGTTAAAAAATAGTTTTTCTTGGGAGAATGAGGTAGGAGGATCACTGAGTTTGAGGCCAGCCTTTCTACATAGTGAGGTCTAGGCCAGCCTAGTAAGATCCTGTCTCAAAAAATAATAATAAAAATCATAACAATAATTCTTAAATTTGAATATGGGGACACATGCCTATAATCCCAGAACACTGGGAGGGTAAAGCAGGAGAATCATAATTTTTTTTTTAAATAGGGGTTGAACTCAGGACCTTGTGCTTGCAAGGCAGGCGCAGCACCACTGAGCTAAATCCCCAGACCAAGGGAATCATAAATATGAGCACGGCCTGAGTTACTTAGGGTGAACTTGTCTCAAAATAAAAAATAGAAAAGTATGGATATAGCTCAGTCCAAAGACTGTGGTTTGGATGAACTTATAGTAACTTATCATTAGTATTACTTTTATTTTATTTTTTTTAAATTGAGTCTATTGGTACATTTTAAGTATACAGTACAGTTACATTCATTATTGGGATCTTGTACCTTTATGTCACAGGTCTTGGTTCTCATTGTTTTCCCCTTGTCCCTGTCTTCCCTTCATCCACTCCTCCCCTCCCCGTTTACAAACACTTTATTTCCATTTTTTCATTTTCTCATATTTTTTTCTTTTCCCTTATTACCTTTCCCCTACCCTTCCCACTTTCCCTACACCTTTAACCCTTTTCTTCCTATTTCACATTGTCAATTATATCATTAGGATCTTATGTACTATTATAGTTTTTCACACCAGAGAAACTATTCAGTATTTACACGTGTGACTTATTTCACTTAGGAGTATATCCTCAAAATGTATCCATTTTCCTATGAATGACTTTAATTTCCCATTCTTTATGGCTGAGTAGTATTCCATTTTATAGAAAAACCACATCTTCTTTATCCAATTTCCAAGTGATGAGCAAATGGGCTGTTTCCAAGTTTTAGCTCTTACAAACTGTGCCGATATAAATATAGGTGCACATATATCATTTCACAGAACTAGAAAAAAGAATCCAAAAATTCATTTGGAACCACAAGAGACCTAGAATAGCAGACGCCATCCTAGCCAACAGAGACATGGTAGCGCATATAACAATTCCCAATTTGAAACTATACTACAAAGCCACTGTGATTAAAAACAGCATGGTACTGGCAAAGAAACAGATCTGAGGATCAATGGAACAGATTGGAAGACAGAAAAACAAATCCAGTTGTACTCAACTATGTCATCTTTGACAAAGGAGCCAACCATCCTCTTTAATAAATAGCCTCTTTAATAAATGGTATTGGAAAAACTGGATCTCAACCTGCTAAAGATTAAAACTGGACCCTTATCTTTCACCATGCTCTAAATTAAATCCAAATGGACTAAAGATCTAAATATTAAAACAGAAACACTAAATTTGCTGGAAGATAAGTTAGGCAGAATTCTTGAAGATATTGGCATAGGAAAAGATTTTATGAACAAATCCTCAGTAGTGTGGGAACTAGCAGAAAGAATCAACAACTGGGATCTCATCTTATTAAAAAGCTTCTGCACTGCAAAAGAAGCCATCAGTAGAACTAAGAGACATCCTACAATGTGGGAAAAAATTTTTACCAGCTGCTCCTCAGACAAAGGACTGTTATCTAGAATATATAAAGAACTCTATCAGCCCCCCCAACATAAAGGCCAATTCAAAAATGGGCATCTGAAGTGAACAGACATTTCTCAGACAAAGAAGTAAAAGCAGCAAGTAAATATATGAAAAAATGTTCCACATCACTGATCATTCGAGAGATGCAGATGAAAACAACACTGAGATTCCACCTCACCTGACAAAGAATGGGTGCTATCAAGAAATCAGACAATAACAAATGTTGGTGGGGTTGTGGGGAGAAAGGAACCCTTCTCCATTGTTGGTGGGAGTGCAGACTGGTGCAACCACTATGGAAATCAATATGGAGATACCTCAAAGAGCTTGGACTAGAGGTTCCATTTGACCCAGCCATCCCTCTGTTGGGTATCTTTCCAAAAGAATTAAAAGAATCATATCACAGTGATATATGTGCACCTATGTTTATAGTATTATTTTTAAATTTCCAAAGTGATAAAGTAGTAGTGATGCTGAGCAAAGGACCAAAACAAACCCTACTGTGTTTTTACGTCTTTGTGCTCCATCTGAATCTGTTTTCCTGTCAGTATTTTCAAAACACTGATCTTGATGAGGGAGAAATGTTTAGATATACAGAATAAGTTGACATTTGGAAATACTATAAAACTAGGTATTTACTTCAACTAGAACATGTGACTCATGCCAGGATTGTCCTTGATTACTGCCACCTCATCTTAGTTTGCAGATAATAAATAAATATGGAACACAGATTATTACCTCTTGAAAACTAAGTATCTAACAAAACACAATATGGCTGAACAATTAATTGTTAATGGCAAATACATTTAAAAGAAATTCCACACAGGAAGACATGGACAGGAATTTCTTATTAACCAATAGATGCCATGTTTTGCGTGCTACTTTTTCTGCCATTATGTTACAACTTCCCATCTTAGGAGTAAAAAAGCTTACCCTGAGGGCAACATCTGGGAAGGAGTAGCAAGGTTATTGTGATACTACCCAGGAATCAGAACTTTGAAATAGAATGATGACTGAGAGATTGTTTTATATTATTCAAGTTAATGCTGTTACAGTTAGAATATGTTTTTTGTTGGTTTTTTGTTTTGTTTTGTTTTGTTTTTGGTACCAGGGATGGAACTCAGGTCCCTGCACTTGCAAGGCAGGCGGCAGAACCACTGAGCTAAATCCCTGTCCCGGAATATCTTTTTAATTAGTGAATTTTTTTGTAAGTAAAAACGTGAAGTAGCTGTTTTTCTAACCTTGCAGTCCAGTGTTAATAGAAAATAATATTATTGTTACTCTTTTCAGTTTTTGTGCAGTACCTGAAGGCAGTGAAAATGACATGCGATTTGTGTACTGTGCTTCCTGTATTTGCTATATGCTGAACAACTGGTCAGGCATGGATATGAAAAAAGCCATCAACTATATTAGAAGAAGTATGGTGAGTTATGTTGATAAAATTGACTAGGTCATTATTGCTGGTGCTACAATATAATGTATGCCTTATGTCCTCCACCAAGAATTTGGAAATAAGGGCAATAAGATTGCTTTCTTGGTATAGTGTATCGTGTATCAGAATACCATATAGAAATACTGACTTTTTCCAGAGATTTAGCTCAGTGATTCCACCATCTGTCTCACAAGCGCAAGGTCCTGAGTTTGATCCCCAGTACCAAAATAATAATAATAGTAATAATAATAATAATAATAGAAATAATGACTGTTTGGTCTAGAAATAATTTTAAAAGAGTAGATTGACCCATTAGCCATAAAATTTAATACTTTCATGTGATTTTTTTTAAACCTGCAGTTTAAGGATAATATTAGTAGAAATGTTATTCTTTCACACAGTTTCATCTTTTTTATTGGCAGTAGTAGGGAAAGCTTAGTCTTCACTGAAATTCTTTTCCTCTGTTTCACCTCATATACAAAATTGGACAAATAGTGCTTCTTTCCAGGTTTACTTTATAAATTACTTTATAATTTTCTAAATTAAAATATGTAAAACTGTAATTCAACCTCTTGTCAGAATTTTAGTATCTTAAAATGAAAGTATATGTTCTTAGAGGAATGGAGTTGGTTTTAACTGAGTATGTAACTGGATCAGGTTTTGTAGTCTGTATAATAGCACATATTCTTAAATGCTTGTGGGTACAGAAAGAAGTGACTCGTAAAGGAATATTAAGAAGAAATAAGATTTTTGTCAGACAGGAGAGTATTGATACCCATTTGCCATGAATAGTACAGAAATAATACTGTTTGCTCCCTGCATTATATCTGAAGGTGCACTGTGTGATTTGCTCTATTTTTGCTCGTTTGGTTAAGATGGTATATGTCAGTTTTCTTTGTTAAAGTTGGTGGAATTTTCCTTGTAATTATTTTGCATCTCATTGTGAGATATTTGGAGATTGTGTAAATGTCCTCTCATACATTTACCCATTGGTGGTGTTGGTATACATTGATGACTTTCTAGCCCTAGCATCCCTCCTACATCCCTTAACCCTTACTTGAAATTCTACTACTAGAAAAAGCTTTTTCCATTTCTTTATTTACATGTTTGTATCATGGTAGGCTCTAGATTCTTATTTTATTTAGTGGATTATAATCTCTTAATATCGTTACATATTTCGATGTATACATTGTCTCAAATTGGCCAATGAGAACCTTTTTTAGCAGGTCCATTGCCCTTTTTGGGTTTTTTTGGTATCACGAATTGAACTCAGGACCTTGCACTTGCAAGGCAAGCAGTGGAACCACTGAGCTAAATCCCTGGCCCTGCCCTTTTGATATGTTCACTTCATTGTTTAAGGACCTCCTTGCTTTCTGTCACAAGTATTTCAGGTTCATCTTTTACTTTTCCAGTCTTAGTTCTGAAATTAGTCATTTCTTACTGCTATTGAGGTATCATTAATTCCAGGCCTTCTCTCAGTAGCTAGTGTTAGGGAATGTGTGTATTTGTATATACAAATAGACGTGCCCTTACAAAAATGTACACACAGTCTGTTTCTGTATCTTTTTATCACTCCATTTATTAAAAACCCTGATACCTCAGATTTCAGTCTAATGCCATAGGTTCATTTATTTTTTCTTTTTAATATGGTTGTATTTTTTTGTAAATTACTTATTTGAAATACAGCTTATGGGTTTAATAGAATTTCCCTTTTAAGCAATGATTTTAAATCAATATCAGACCTATCTATTAGCTTCTTTACATCTCACTCTTTCTTTTCTCTTACAATGCTAGGGTTTTTTTTTATTATTATTATTTTTATTTTGATACAGGGTCTCACCAAGTCATTAAATTGCCCTGACTGGGCTCAAACTTGAGATCCTCTTCCCTCAGCCTTCTAAAGTGCTGAGATTACATTCATAGCCACCATGCTAGCTTCTCTTCCTTTCTTACTCATAGTTTTTCATAAATCACCTTTGTTCTCTGCAGATGTATCAGAGATATGAAAGATAGCTTAGTGGGATTTGGTGTTTCTTTTTCTAAAACTTAATATGAAGCTTGATATTGTGTCTTGTTTTTTTGTTTTGATTTTGGAGGATATGTAGGTAGACTGGAATTTAGGCAGGTACTATTATTTTCAAAAAATCAAAATTGCCTCATAATAGGTTTGTTTCATGTTTATAAAGTTTTATAACTATAAAATCCTCACATTTTCATTCAGCTTACCTATACTTGCAAATGGGGGAAGATTAAAGGGTCAAAGCTTTTTTTTTGGATAGAAATTAAATATGTAAGTACTGTCAGCAGTCTACTTTCAGAATGTGTCAAGTGTATGTAGTCTGTGAAGAAGACAAAGATCAAGTATTTTGAAAGTGACTGGTTCTACTTAGTGGAGAAAAGTGTATATTTTGGAAGATACAAAAGAGAAATAAAGATAAAAGAGATTTTAAAAGTTAATACAGTGGCATCTTAATATTTCAGTATTAAACTAAACAGAACTTTTCTTTTTCAGTCCTATGACAATGGGCTGGCACAGGGAGCTGGACTTGAATCCCATGGTGAGACATCTTAAATATAATGTATTACATTATTCTTTAGTTTCTTTAAATATCACAGTGTCTTCAGTATAAATTTCTGAAGTTTATTCAACCCTTAGTGTAAATAGATTATCTTGTCACTTCCTTACTTTTGCCTTTTGACACTTTTGTATCTATTTGAAGGCTCTTGGTCAGTAATCATTAAGGGATTATTCAAGCCAGAGTATTTACACAATATTTTCTAGTAATCTATTCAAGTGTTAGCCACATGAAAATATTTTGGGATTATTTCTTATGCTATTCTTAGAAAACAACAGGCCATATATATATATATGGTTTTTTTGTTGTTGTTGGTTTTTTTTTTTTTTTTTTTTTTTTGGTGCCAGGGATTGAACTCAGGTCCTTGGGCTTGCAAGGCAGGCCACCAGACTGCTGAGCTAAATCCCCGGCCCTTATTCTTTGTATAACACTAAAAGGCTAATCAGAGAGGTGCAGAGACTTAAATGTGAATCAGTAAATTCAAGAAGAGATGAAAAATTTTACTTACCTTCCTTAATGTAATTGTTCTTAATCATATTCATAAAACATATGCTACTTATGTTCGGTACAAACATTAATATAGTCTCCTCTCTCACGTTTTTCTTCACTTTCAGCAGAATCAGAAAAATGAGATAATTGTTATTAAGTTTGTCAACACATCAATTGCCTGCACTCTGTCAAGTTGAAATTTCCACCAGAAGTAAATAAGCTTTCATTCTGCTTAGAAAGAACAAGCCTAGATCTTGTAGGCTTTCTGATGAAGTTCATTTTCCTCTTAAGCAGAGCAGATTATATGTGCTCATTTGTTGTCTCCATGATTCTGCCAGTGTGATAAAATAGGAGGAATAGATCAATGTTTGGTGCTTGGCCTTGACGCCAGCTGTGTTACCTTGACTCCAGGGTTTCCTCATCCACAGATCAGAAGTAATTGTCTGTCTTTAAAATGATAAGAAGCTGGGCATGGTGGCACACGCCTATAATCCCAGCACTTGGGGGAAGCTGAGGCAGGAGGGTCGCTGTGAGTTCAAGACCAGCCTGGGCTACACAGTGAGATCCAGGTCAGTCTCAACTACATAGTGAGACCCTGTCTCAAAAAACCAAAAAAAAAAAAAATTAAATAAATAAATAAATAAATAAATAAATAAAATGATAAGAAATATGGGGGAAGGTGGTTTGTAAAGTATAAAACATGAATAAAAATACCTGTTTTTAACATTCTGTATATTCATTAGTCTTATATCTTTTGTCTCTCCCGGGACTTTGTCCTGTCAGATATCTCCTCTCAACATCTTCACTCTCTCCTTCAATTGGAATATTTGTAGAGTGTGTATCACCAAGGGATAGAAGATGGTCTTGGATTTTCTTCTGAAACCATAGTATGATTATGATGGCATGATTCTTTAATGGGCCTGAGTTAAATGAGATTGGGTATGGAGGAGCTGTTGATAGATATTGCAGGCAAGGGCCCACACTGCCTATGTGCGTAGAAGCTGATGTATTATGGAACCAGATTTTCCAAAAAAGAAAAGAAAAAAGGAGGGAGAGTGCATTTTATTGCATGGTCAACTCTCAAGAAAGTAGGAAGATTAGGGGCTGTAAACTCAGATCTGTCTCCCTGTCATTTGTTATGGGGGATTTATCAGAGGAAGAAGCTGCATATTGATTAAATAGTGAAAAGAGCAAGTTTTAGGGACTTTTGAGCAGTCATAGAACATTATGTCTATTCATAGGTGACATATTTCATTTCTGGATAAATTGTGTTCTTCCCAGGTGATTTTGAACTTATAAAGTCAAAAGATCTTGACAGAAAACTGGCTTTTACTGTGCATGTCCAGTTTTGAAAAGCTTGAAATTACCCTTGAGTAGATTCCAGAGACTTGCTGTGAAACAATTTGAGCAATTTGTTACTCAAAAAATGTATGTCCCGGTACATCTGAGCCTAGCCTTGATTTCAGCAGAGATTATGTCATTGGTTATCCCCTTGGTCAAGAGGGATATAGCTGTAGTTGTACAGAGAAAAATCTGATGGCTCCAAAACTTTCTGAGAAGGCAAAATCTTGTGGTCTCCATTACAGTACTCTGGCTGAATTAATTTTTCTTACAAATGGGCTCTAGGTTAAGCAGCAGTTGGAAAAGAATAAATAAATAAGAGGAAGGAGAAAACCCAAACCAAAAATCAGTTCATTAAAAAATAACTTAGATTGGGTAATTAGGAGGAAAAGCATACACAAAAAATTACATTATTATCAAACTGTGACAGATATTCCAAATATAACCTTTCCAGTCTAGAGATGCAAACTAAAATACAAGGAAGCTAATAAATTGCATATTAATGACCACTACAACATACAGGGGCATATAGAATAGTAAGGGATGAATAAGACTCGATCATCTTGCAGTCTAGCAGAGAAGACTTGGTAAACAGATAAGCACAATAAAAGTGATATGTTGTACTTTTCCAACTATGTTGCTAATCCTAGAGCCAATTTATCGGAAAAACTAAATGGGTATATTGTCCGTCTAGGCCATGATCATCCAATGTGTTTTGCTTTATCCCAGTGATTTTCCTGTAGTAGAACAATTTTAGGGTAAAATGTTAATGTGTCTTGAAGAGTTGGATTTTCCTTTTTTGCTAGGGATAAAACTTTTTCCTTCAAGATTCATATGAAGGTTTAGATAAATTACTTTGATTCCATGATTTTTAAAAAATACCTCTACTTCTTAATCCAGAATAAGAATGTTAAGTCTTTGACCTCAATTTCATCTAAACATTTGGTTTCCTTGAAATTACTTCATTTTTTTTTTTGTTAAGTGCAAAATAATGTACTTATTTACATAATTATTGGGGGGGTGCTTCTTTATTTGTTTGGTACTGGGGATCGAACTTTGGGCCTTGCGCTTGCGAGGCAGACTGCAGAACCACTAAGCTAAATCCCCAGCCCTATTTTTGGTTTTCTTCTCTACCTCTAGCCATAAAGATTATTGACTGTTGTGGCTTGTGTCTGGATGTCCCCTCAAAGCCTTATGCAGTCTTTTTCAGGGGTGGCTGAATCTAGAGTGTGTGATGCTGGGATTAGAGTATATGATTACTAAGCTAACACATTGCTTAGCAATCCTGCCCCATTTGTGGTAGTCTGAATAGATAAAAAGGGCAGAAAGATGCTGTTAAACTCTTCTGTTGCTTTTGCTGCCTTCTGGCTGCCATGAACTGTTTGTTCCTCCTCTGCAATGCCTGTGTACCACACCACACTGCCTTGGAGCCAGCTAATTATGGATTAAAACCTCTAGGAACTGTAAGCCAAATAAACCTCCCCACTTTAACTTTGGGTGTTGGCTATTTTGTCTCAATAAGGTGAGACAAAAAACTAATACATTGACTACTTTAAAGTATACATTTCAGAGGTCATATGAGTTGATACATATAAATATTAAGAATGCTTAGAATTGAGCTGTAAAATTTAAGGGATTGATAAGTTAACTTGTAACTGTGATACTGGCAAAATATAAATGGAACATAACATTCAGAACTAAAAGCAAGAATACCTCCTCTACCTCGCTTGAGGAAGAACTGGAGTAGATTAAGAGAGAATCCCTCTGGTCCTTCCTGCTCTGGTGTTGTCTTAATGAGGTATTTTATGTGCACCAATTCTTCGTTTAACTAGTGTATCATTTTAGGTAACAAATTTAACTATTCCTGTGAAAATCGTTCTTTTGTATGTGTTTTAATATTCTCTTACTGTTGTGTGCCTTAATTTTTTTTTCAGGTACTCTTCAACTAAGGCATAATAAACAGAATTTGACCCTTCAGGATCTGGATTCCTTCAGGGTCGAATTGTGTTCATTATTATGAGAAGCAATTCTAACACCATCCTTTAAATGTACTCTTGAAGTATTTTGAAGTATTCAGTGATTGTTGATCTATTTGATCTGTTAAGAGCAAAATAATGTACTTTTTACATAGTTATTTCGGGAGGCTTTGGGGTTTTTTGTTTGTTTGGTACTGGGGATCGAATTCTTGTCTTTTAATTGTATTCTTAATCTTATATTTTTTTCCTGGCACTGGGGACTGAAACCAGGGCATTTGCACTAGGCTACATCTCCAGCCTTTTTTGTTTTTGTTTTTTTTGGTTGGGGGTATTGAGACAATTTTCTGTCTTAAGTTGCTAAGTTGCCCGTTTTAGGCTCACACTTGCAGTCCCCCACTTGGGCCTCCCAGGGTACAGAGATTACAAGTGTATGCCAACATGCCCAGCTCTTAATCTCTTCAGATGTACTACATTTTTTCTTTTTTCTGTTTTATATCTTCCTTTAACACCCTTCTAACAAACTGCTTTTAATCTAAGTATATAGAATAGTTCTTTTGGAATTTTGTATAAACCAGATTCTTTAGGGACAGTGGGCTTAACTGTTGGCAAATAATTTTACTTTAAAGCATAGGCTATAATATGAGGTTGTTTCTGACACTCAAAGCCCCAAACTTGCTTCTGGAATAATCACTTGCTAAACCTGGTGTAACACTAAGTAAAGAGTATTTCTAGTTTGAATTGTGCCAGATTGCTTTAAAGAATCCTAACAAGTACTTTAGAGGGTACTACTTAAATGCCTCTTCTTACTTTTTGGTAGTTGGTTTTAAAAATGGCTTGTTGTCAATTAGAGACGTTGTCTTTCATGGTGCAGTAATACCTGAAGCCATACTCAGTGTATCATGAAAGAAATTCAAACTAGTGAGTCACTGACAAGAAAATACAACTGATAGCTTCTTCATAGAAGTTATTCTAATAGGTTGTGATAAATTTGTTTTACTTTTCTATTTCAGTTCACTTGGGAATTCTAAAGATTAAATAATTCTCATTGCCTGGCACACATTAAGTATGATAGCTGCTTTGAATTTTTAGAGGGAATGTCGCTTTTCCATTCTCCAAGAATTCATACAACACTTGTAACACCAAAAGGGAAGTTAGAAAATGAAATATATTAGAAATAGTCCATTTAAATTGCTGAAATTAATAAAAATCCCTAGAGAGTCTTGGTTACATTCTTTTTGCTGAGACAAAAATACTCGACACCCACGAGTTAAAGGAAGAAATGTTTATTTTGGCTAACAGTTTATGGAGGCTGCTGTCTACAGTTAGCTGGCTCCATTGCAGAATGGCACACAGAGGAGAAGCAGTCCTCTGCAGGGCCTGCCTTCTTTCTGTCCTTTATATTCCATCTAGCCTACAAGCCTACTGATTGGCACCACCCACATGCAGGGTGTGGCTTCCCTTTTCAGTAAATTCATTCAGCCATACCCAGAACTATGTTATTCCAATTAGGGGACTAATCCCAGCATCACACACCTTAGATCCTTCTGAAAAGCCCCATCTATAAGTACATGAGGTTTTGGGGGGAAATCTAGATATAAGTCGTAACATTAGGTAAAGCTATAATAAATTGAAAATATATGTGTTTTTTAAATTGTTGTTATCCACAGAGAATGCCAGTGGAAAGTATTGTTTCTTTTCTTTTATGGAAAAAATCATTACTTATTTCCCGAGTGAAATAGTCATCCCTCAATGTATGTATTGTTATTGGTTCCAGGACCCCCACAAACTCAAATGCTCAACCTCACATATAAAATGGTGCTATATTTGCACATAATCTGTGTACATCCTCCCGTATACTTTTGTTGTTGTTGTTGTTACTGGGGATCAAACTCATGTTCTTGTGCTTGCGAGGCAGGCGAATCCCTGGCCCTCTCCCATACACTTTAAGTCATCTGTAGATTACAATACCTAACAATGTAAATGCTGTGTAGTTATCATGTTGTATTGTTTAGGGAATAATGTCAAGAAAACTATCTGTTCATGAACTTAATTTTTTCTGCAATTTTGGGAAAGATGGCCATGCTTAGGTCTGTGTGAGAAAGATGGCCATGGTTGTGTTTGTCACCCAATGCAGAGTTTGCAAACAAAAACAGAATTTTGCCAAATGCTTCCATTTGTGAGCCAGATTATTTGCAAACGGAAGTATTCAGGAACCACTGTACTCCACTTTTTTCTGAATATGTTTGATCCTCATTTGATTGCATCCATAGTTGCAGAACTCAGAAATGTAAGGGACCACCTGTGCTGTCTAAAATTGGCCACACATGACTTCTGGACAGGGACTACTAGTCCTAGAATTTATTTCCAAATTTCTATTAACTATATAATTTTAAACAAATTCTTTAAGCCTGTTCCAAGTCTTTCTTATAAGTAAAATGTTTCTTCTAGCTTTAAATTATTTTTATATCTGTCCTCATCAAATTAACATTGAAGATTTCAGTGGTTAGCACTAATTTTGAAATTGCTATTTAAATTTTATTTCACTGTTTTCTAGATTTCCACATCCCCCCCAACCATTTTGTACTGTTTTAATAGGCATCTAAGTTGAAATTTATAGCATTGTGTGGTTTTGATTAATAGGAGGATCTACCTTCTGTGGCATTGCATCATTATGTCTAATGGGTAAACTAGAAGAAGTGTTTTCAGAAAAAGAATTAAACAGGATAAAGAGGTGGTGTATAATGAGACAACAGAATGGTTATCATGGAAGACCTAATAAGCCAGTGGACACCTGTTACTCTTTTTGGGTGGGAGCAACTCTAAAGGTAAGAGAAATAATAAAGTGAGGAACCTGTACTCCATGTCAGTATAAACTCTGCTGAAGGTTTGGTCTTTGTAGTGTACGTTAAATATTCTTAAGAATAGTTACGAAGTTTTTTCTGTTGTGCTAATTAAAATTTCCTTGCAAAACTCAAATGATTGAGAATTTGAGTTTTATATTTACTTATTATATTTTATGTAAAACTTGTTACATGCCTACTCCTTTGTACATATAATGTCGTAAAAATCCTGTTACTAAAACTGACTAGTAGTCCATGTCTAGCAGGGCTCTTTCTGAAAGTGATTCCAGTAAGGATTGCATGAGAAGTTATTAATCTTTTTTTTGTTTGTTTTTTGTTGTTGTTGATTTGTTTGGTTTGGTTTGGTACCAGGGACCGAACTCGGGTCCTTGCTCTTGCGAGACAAAGAGTGGCATCACTGAGCTAAATCCCTGGCCCGAGAATTTATTAATCTTAAAAAAATAACCAATAGGTCATTTCTTGAAAAATTACTTAATTTTTTCTTTATGTCTAAATCTTCAGAAGCTTATTAACTGATAATGATCACAAATTTTCTTGTCTTTAATACTTTTTTTTTTTTTTTGGTGGTATTGGGGATCAAACTCAGGACCTCGCCTCACACAAGGCAGGCGCAGTGCCACTGAGCTAAATCCCTGGCCCTTTAATACTTTTTAATATACCAACTCCATAAAGTTATTGAGCCAGTAATCCCACAAGTTCGCTCTATTTTAAAAATGTTTTTTCACCTCTAAGAACTGTCATGTAGTTTATATATTCTAAAATATAAGAAGAATTTATAAGGGGATGAAGGGAGGGCAGGAGTATGGGAAAAAATGAGAACCAAGACCTGTCATGTAAAGGTACAAGATCCCAATGATGAATGCAACTACTGTATACCTAAAATGTACCAATAAACTCAATGAGGGGGAAAGAAAAAGAATTTATATTCCCTTTCTATGTAATCTCCTTATTTTCTCACATAAACAAGACTAATACATATAGTTGAAACAAATTCAAACAAGAGAATGACTTAAAAATGATAGCAGTAGCCCTCCTATTTCTCCTTACTCCTAGTGCCATTTCTCAGACATACTGATTTTTTCTTTAATCATAGAAAACTAACATTCAAAAGTACTGAGAAAGGTATAATGAATCCCATATATACATCAACCACTCTCAGTAGTTACAATCTCAAAGCCATCCCTCCATACTCGTACTTTGCTCTTATTCATTGTGTCATTTTAAGGCAAATCCTAAATACAATTTTTGTATTATCTGGAATTCTTCAGTGTAATCTCTAAATGAAAATGACTTTTTTAGAGAATGAACTTTTAAGCAGGCGTGGTAGCTCATGCACATCTGTAATGCTAGCACTCCATGAGACTGAGGCAGGAAGATTACAAATTTAAGCCCAATCTGGGCCACTTAGTTTATGTATGAAATATATATAACCTTAGTATCATCACATCCAAAAAATTAGTAATGATTTCTTATTATTAAATATCCAGTGATGATGAATTATAAGAAGGAAATATTATCCAGTTGTCTCTCCTTTTGATCAGGGGGCTCCAAAATTATCAACATTATTTTTTCATTATAAAGTTTCTGTCTGCTTTTTACTTTTCTATCAGTTTTTTACTTTTTCTTTTATTGTTGTGAAATATACATAACACATACAGTGATATTAATTACATTCATGGTGTTATATAACCACCTCCACTATTTATATGCTTTTCATTACCCCCAACATTAGCTCTGTACCAGGTAAATATTAACTTCCCACCTGCCCCACCACCACCCCACCTACTTCCTGGTAACTAACCTGTGTACTTCTCTTTGTTAGTTTGCCTATTCTAGGTACTTCATTTAAGTGGAATCATAAAGTATTTGCCCTTCTGTATCTGCTGTATTTTACTTAGCTTGTTTTCATGATCGATCCATGTTGTAATATGTATCAAAATATCGTTCTTTTTTTTTTGCACAAGGAGCAAATTTAGAACCTCGCACTTGCCAGGCAGGCACTGTGCTGCTGAGCTAAATCCCTGGCCCTTTGCTGTTTTTGTTTTGTTTTGTTTTGTTTTAAGTCATTCCTTTTAAGGCTAAATAATATTCTGCTGCATGTATATACCACATTTTTCTAATTCCTGTATTGATGATCACTTGGGTTGTTTCCACCTATTATTGGCTATTGTGAATAATGTTGCAGTGCACATGGTATGTAGTAGATGTTCATGTTCCTGCTTTTATTTTTCGAATTTACATACCCAGGAGTGGAATTGCTGGTCATATGAGAATTTCAACTTTTTGTTTTTGTTTTTGTTTTTTTGTTTTGTTTGAGACAGGGTCTCACTATGTAGTTGAGACTAACCTGGAACTCACTATGTAGCCCAGGCTGGTCTTGAACTCACAGTGATCCTCCTACCTCAGCCTCCCAAGTGCTGAGATTACAAGCTTCCTGTCAACAGTGTATAAGGATTCCAGTTTCTTTACATTTGTACCAGTGCTTGTTTTTTTCTGGTTTGTTTGTTTTTATGGAATAGCTATGCTAGTGGGTTTGAAGGGTATCTCATTGTGCTTGTGATTTGCTTTTCCCTAATAATTAGTTATGCTTGCACATGTTTTCATGTGCTCATTGTTCATTTGTATATCTTTTTGGGGAAAATGTCTTTTCTAGTCTTTTGCTCTCTTTTTAGTCAAGTTTTGTTGTCGTTTTTAATTCTTTATTTTATTCATTTATTGTGGATATAATCCTTTATTCTGGATTTTAATGCCTTATCAGTATAAGATTTTGCAATTTTTTTCTCTCATTCTTTGAATTGCCTTTTAACTGTTCATGCTGTCTTTTGATGCACAAAAGCTTTTAGTTTTGATGCAGCCCAGTTTAATCTATTTTTTCTTTTATTGTGCTTTTGGTATCATATTTATGAAATAATTGCCAAATTATTGTCATAAATATTTTTCCCTAAATGTTTCTTCTAACAGTTCTATAGTTTAATGTTTATTACTTCCATTAGACTTAATTTTTGTATTATATGATATAAGATAAGATCCATTTTATTCTTTATATCACTAAGGGGCTAAAAATGGTTACATTCTAACAATTCCTGCTAATTTACTCACTAGCATTCATTTAAAAAGAATTTTACTTAACCTTGAAGTATAGTTTTACAGAAAAGAGCAGTTAAAATGCTTCTTTCTGTTAATTTTAATATTCAGTACAGTGAGTTGGTTCTATAGCATCGCCTCAAGTTTTCCAGTGAAATGTTGGGTTTTAGAGGGGTTTCTTTTTAGTATCATTGTGATCTTACAGATCTTAACATTTTTATGTTTTAGTCCATTACCCTTTTCAGTGATCAGATTGTTCTGCCTTTAACTTGTATTTGGTCCTTGAGTTTTACTGATATGGCCTTAGTAATACTTGGCAACTCCTAAGGGCAACCACTTCTAAACATTTTTAAAATTTTCATTTTTGTGGACATTACTTTAACTGTAAATGATATAGCAATTTCTTGACTTCACAACTGTAGACATTATTTTAGACATCTTTGTCTATTTTTAGGTATCTTTGCTTCCCAAATATGAAAAAATAAAATTTATCTTCCCTTTTTTTCTAGAAAATTGTTAGTGATTATTTTATTATTAGTTCTCAACCTTGACTCTTTTACCTTTCAAAGCTGTTAGTGTACCTTTAATTTTGTAAAATGCCACATTAGGTAACATTCATATTTTGTTTGGTGATAATCAAGTCTTATTTTTTACCTCTAGGTTAATTCTAAAATTTGAAAACCAGTAGTAAACATCTACTGACAATATAAATATTAAATATTGTTCTTCTTTTTAAGAGTAGGAAAACTTGTTGGGGAGTGAGAATGGGGAGTTAGGAATAGCTCCTGAGAGACTAGAAGAGTTCCTAATGGGTTGCCAACCAGCCCACTTCTCTGAGAAGATTTTATAGAGCAAAGTCACCAAGCAGGTACCATGTGGGTCAAAACTGTAATGGACCAATAAGAGTACAAGTATAGCTGCTTGACTAATATTGATCTAATAGTAACAAGGATATGAATGATAATCTTGGTTGATAATCTGTAGTCTTAGTGGGTGGGAGAAGATTGCCCATCCCTATTGAGATAATGGTTTATTCATACAGGAAATCTTAAAAGGTGGGTACCTATAATCTCAAGCTTCCCTCCTTAGGGAAGTATGTAAATCTGACCATGATGACTTTAATCCTCAGATTTGCCTCTAGCCACAGATGTGTTCTCATCTTTTGCATTGAATTGCTCAAAGGCCTGTCTTTGTCTGACTGCCTATAATATTTCTATGTAATTTAGCTGCCTATACTATTCCCCACTCTGAAGGGATATCCCTAACTGTGGTTTAGGGGAAAGGGGACATAATTTCCATTGAGCTACTACGAGCTGAGAAAGGTGTGCATAGGGGAGACCACAGTCAGGGACCTTCTCCAAAGAGAGCTAATCTAATGGGCCTTGGCTAGAAGCCGTGTTGCATGTGAGCAGTTGTGAACTCCCTTCACAAGGTTGATCTAACAAGTACAGCACTGAGATTATTTTTTTTTCTTTTTATTGAGTTTATTGGTACAATCTAGGTATACAGTACAATTACATTCATTATTGGGATCCTGTACCTTTACATGATAGGTCTTGATTCTCATTTTTCCCCTTGTCCCTTCCCTCCCTTCACCCCCTAGCACTGAGATTATAATTGCTCCTTTTTATGTGATGACACATGTGCTGCTTGATAGAAAATGTTCCCAACGCTCAGGATTCCAAAGAGTCTCTCTCTTTATATTCTTATTAGTTATATCAAAATAAATGAGTATTTTTTATTTGTATCATAATTTCCTTAAAGCTTTAGCTTTTTTGAGAAATCTGTTTAACAATCACTAATACCTTCCTGTGGCTCTCTTATTCATTAATACACTTTATGCCACCTTATCTTCAAAACCTTCTTGAGATCTGTTTTTTTCTCTCAACTCTTATTTCCTTCAGTATTTTTATCTTAATAGGATCTTCAGAGAGAATATAAAATATATGCCGTAAATCATTAATTTTGCTTTTTTTATATTTTAATCATACGTGTCCCAAGTTTAGCTTTTAAAGAACTGTTCTTATGTAAGTTCCTTACATAAACTTATCCCTAGCTTCTGATTAATAAGTTTTCTTCTTTTTGAAATATTTTTAGTTTCAGTTACTATCAGTTTGTAACACAAAAATTAAAAGTTTATATGTGACACTCTTAAATGACTATATTGAACAGATTGAAGAAATTGTGTTTTGAATGTGATTCAAAGAGTTTATGTTTCTTCTGGGTCCAAAGAAAATAGAAGGTTCAGAAAAGGGCAGACTTGGCACTAAGATAAAAAAGACAATGTAGCTAATTTTAAGTGTTGGCCTCCCCAAAGATTTGCTCCTGAGAGACTTTAACTAGAGAAAAACCTGTCTAAATGATATGTATCTGCAGTGTCAAGCAAAGGTCAATGTAAATATTTTATGTCAACTTCTGTTATTTTGTTTCAGCTTCTGAAAATTTTCCAATACACTAACTTTGAGAAAAATAGAAATTACATATTATCAACTCAAGATCGCCTTGTAGGAGGCTTTGCCAAATGGCCAGACAGTCACCCAGGTAATTATTTTTTTTAATGAATCCAAAATAACATTTTTTTTTTATTTCTTGAAATCTTCAAGTATCTTTATAAGTTTGAGATAGATTTAGGATATTAACCATTATAAAAAAAAAGGTTGGTTACCAAGATGTATTGGCATAGTGTGCAGTTTTCCAAATTCTTAGCAATGTTTTATTTCATTTGTGATAGTATGGCAGATAGCCTGAATGGGATCTTTACAAAATAGAGAATTATTTGGCTCATTCAGAATTGTTAGGACGAAATTGTTATGTATGACTTGAGTTAAGTGGAATAAATTGCTCTCAATCCTAAAGGAAAGGAAACCAATTATTACTCATTTCAAATCCTTTGAGCCCCGACACCAAAAAAAAAAGGTATCAAATCCTGAATATAGGTATCCCTCTTTGCCCATATTCTTGTCTAAATTTCAGCAGATGTAGGTAACTTTTTTAGATGGGTATGTGATATCTGAACTTACACCATTCGCTATCTAAAACTCAAGAACCAAATACACTCAAACAATATGAATGGCACCCAGAGTCTAGCTCTTCTCCCACTTCTAGCATTATTCTCCAGCCTAGCCATTTAAGCAATTCAAGGTATTCATTTATAACTTTGCCATGAAAATCAGTATAAGAGTGAAAATAATTCAGAGCATTGGTAGTTTTGCTAGCAAGTAATCAAAGAATTGCTGTAAATATATAAACCAGATACAAGGAATGATTGTTTTCATAGAATTATAGTAGGATTGTGGTTTTTATTTGTCCAAAACATTACCTCTTCAGTTTATCTCCTGTCATAGCACTGCTATGGTTGGAATATGTAGTTAAATCAATCAAAATATAAGAGGCTCATGAAGTCTTTTTTTTGTACCAGGAATCAAACTTGGGTCCTTGCACTTGTGAGGCATGCAGCAGCACCACTGAGTTAAATCCCAAGAAATCATATTTTTATACTTAAATTGAGTGGGAATATTTCCTCACACACATATTTACCTGTATTTTTATATAAAATTTGCTTTTGTAGAAAAAAAAAGTAGAATGCTTTCAAAGTCCTAAGCCAAAGTATGTTTTCACAAAATAATTTCTAAAGCAAAATATTAAATTTTGATTTGAATAATACATAGCTATAAATATGCTTTAAAAGTACCTCAAGAAAACTGAAAGTTATTTCAGTTTTAATATTTTCTAAAATCAGGGTCTGCTATTATTTTAATAAATAATTGAGCAATCTCTTAGAAAGTATCTATTGAGCCGGGGATTTAGCTCAGTGGCATTGCGTTTGCCTTGCAAGCACAAGGTCCTGAGTTTGATCCCTGGACCACAAAAAAAAGAGAGAGAGAGAGAGAGAGAATCTCTTGTATAGACTTATAGTGCATCACGTATTTTTTAGCAGCATTTTTCAAAAGAAAATTGTTGAAGCTTTTTTTCTAAAGAGATCAGTGGCTAACTTTAAGTATTTGTGTAAATACTTGTATGGAATACTCAATTTTCACTAGGAAGCATAGAAGGTCTTAGTGTGATAAATTGAATTAATATGAAAAGAACTATTCTCTGAGCCTTTAAGAAAATAATTTTAATAATTTTCTTTAAAATTAACTCTTGGGCACCGGGCATGGTGGCGCACGCCTGTAATCCCAGCACTAGGGAGGCTGAGGCAGGAGGATCACTGTGAGTTTGAGATCAGCCTGGACTACATAGTGAGTTCCAGGTCAGTCTCAACTACATAGTGAGACCCTGTCTGAAAAACCAAAAATCAAACAAACAAACAAAATTAACTCTTGGTTTTAATAAATCAAATAGGTTTGACAGAAATCGCCTGTCGCCTGTAATCCCAGCACTAGGGAGGCTGAGGCAGGAGGATCACTGTGAGTTTGAGATCAGCCTGGACTACATAGTGAGTTCCAGGTCAGTCTCAACTACATAGTGAGACCCTGTCTGAAAAACCAAAAATCAAACAAACAAACAAAATTAACTCTTGGTTTTAATAAATCAAATAGGTTTGACAGAAAGATTTTAATATACGTTTATGGAAGAAACATTTGAACAGTGATATTTTATTAAAAAGTAAAATATATATTTCTAAAGTACTTTAATATATCATACTTTATGCTATTTTCTATTGCATTATTTCCTGAGAAAGCTTCCAGTTTCTCAAAAGAAAGTTTAATGATACTTTGTACCCTCTGTAATTTTAGAATAACTATATAGAGTGTTATAATAGTATAGAAGACATCAAATTTATTTTGGAATCTAAAAATCAGAGAAAAGTAATCCAGAAGAAGCCTAAATGTTAACTCTTTTGGCAAAGTCTGACTTGGTAAGATGTTTTGAACTTTTAATAGCTCTTGAAGTTATAAATGCTTGCTAGTTCAAAAATAGAAAAAAATTTTAACTGCTACAAAACTATTTTTTTTTCAGTGTTCCCATAACTGCAGAATTCTTATCTCTTCAGAAGTCTATATAAGGCTTTTAGGCACCCAATGATCACATGAATTTAGTGACCACTTTAGTAGGAGAGGGTTGCCTCCTCCTGAAATATGGGAAACTGTAGTAAGGCCAATGCAGAAAAATTGTTATAACCAAATAGAAAATGAGTTTATTTTTATTGTCAAGTCAAATATTTTTAGAATGGCTAACATCTTAAGTAGGAGAACTTTCAAAATAGCCCAGCATTTCAAGGTGGTTTATTTTTGCTTCTTTTATTTCACATAATAGTTCAGGAACTATTGTAAGTAAAGCTTGGGTGTAGGAGGATGGGATATTTTGCCACTTAAATTCAGAGGTAGGTTTGTTTTAACTTACAGGAAAAAAGAATTTATGATAAAAAGTCATTTGTTTCTATATTCTGTAGTAAGAAAAAAAGGAAAATCTACTCAAGTGAGAAAACTTTTATGTTACTGCTATTCTTCCTCTCTGTCCTTGAGTGCATGTTAACAGCATCATCTCTTCAGTTGGCAAATGTTTGTTAATAAGAATTTTGTCATAATTTTAATTTTGATCATCTTTTCAAGAAAATTAGTGTTTAAGATTTAGGAAAAATAAATATTTCCAAAAAAATGTGTGAAACATTTTTTTACATTTGTTTTTGTAGTAATTGGTAGTTAAAATATTTTACAGCATATATGATTAAGAATGCCGATTTCAAGCGGAAAAAATACCTCCTTTTTCAGATGCTTTGCATGCATACTTTGGGATCTGCGGCCTGTCACTAATGGAAGAAAGTGGGATTTGTAAAGTTCATCCAGCTCTGAATGTAAGCACGCGAACTTCTGAACGCCTTCGAGATCTCCATCAGAGTTGGGAAACTAAGGACTCTAAACAAAGCTCAGGGACTGTCCATGTCTCCAAATGACTGAATTTAGATGGGTGTGGGTGTGGGTGGTAGGGATTTGTAGCATAACTGTAGCTCAAGGTTAAAAGCCATGTATAATCAAGTGTGCTCTGTTTTTTTTAAGAGGTAAAGACTTACAATCAAAGCTTGTTCTGATATCGCTTGATGTGGTCTTGAGCCTTTGTAAGAGGTTTCAAGAAAATCTTTGTTAAACTGGGCATGGTGGCGCAGGCCTGTAATCCCAGCACTAGGGAGGCTGAGGCAGGAGGATCACTGTGAGCTCGAGACCAGCCTGGGCTACATAGTAAGTTCCAGGTCAGTCTCAACTACATAGAGAGACCCTGTCTCAAAAAA